TCCTTTTGTTACATCTGTATCCCTAGAACTACTGTGGAAACTATTTTCTTCCCCTCACCACTGAGAGGGACTTTAATTTTTCACTCATTCTCCTTTTAACTTTTTACATCTCAGCTGCTTAGCATTTTTCTTTATGTAATATAATCTGTAAACAAAAAGTTATATAACTACCTAAAAAATACAATAAGCATACATATGCCCTTCCAGTTCAAGAAATAGATGATTACCAATATCATTGAATGGGCTTCTGACAATTGCCTCCATTTCTTCTGTCCTAGAATAAACTGCTATCCTGAATTTTGTGAGAATAATATTTTTCTTTTCTTTATAGTTCTACTTTGTGTATGTGTGAGTATGTGTGTGTGTATATCCTTAGTCAGTTGTTTATATTAATGCAACATGTGTCACAATCTTTTTTCCCCCAGCAGACACCCCTTTGCTATGGTTTTAGAGCCCTTATGCTTCCTACCATAGCATTTATCACATTTACTTATTGCCAATGCCTTAGACAATGAGCTCTTTGTACATTTTATTTCTTTATTCCCAGAACTTAATCAGTGCCCAGAACATAGTAGGAATTCCATAAATATTAGTTAAATGAATTCATAAAAGAACAAATTGGGGGCACAACCTCCTTACTGGTTCAGAGTTCCTATATTTTTATATTAAAATATTTAAGTAGATGAATACCTTTTGAGCAGAAAAATTTTCAATCACAGGGATTGAAACAAAAAGCATGTTCTAGTTAAATTTTTCTTAGATAATCCCAGTTCTGTCACTAATTGACTGCCACCTTGGGCCATTTACTTAACCTCTTGGTCCTCTGTTACCTAATCTATAAAATGAGGTTGGACTAAATGATCTCCAAGGTCTTTTTCCAGCTGTGAAATTCTATGATTGTCATCAATGATCGTACAAATAAAAAATTCAATTAACAAGAACATCTTAATCCCTAAGCATTATCATTAAATTGAGATTTTACTTTTTCAAAGAGCAATTATTTTATATACACAGTAGGATAAGAAAGTGTTCACATCTTTCTTTCTAGCTACAATTCAACTTCATCAGCAAATTCCTTTTTACATAATGGGAACAATGTTTTTCCTAGTCTAATATGGGAACTTCTCTTCCTTTGAAGGTGTATCATTGAGAGGTATCTTCTTTATTTAATCAATTGATTCATTACCTAGCTCAGAGTACATGTCATTTGTATTAACCCGATCTAATGAAATCAGCTAGACTCTCCTCAAAAATCAAATGAGACACTGAAGATGACCTGCCTGGGAGAATTTCTGAGACCTTGGACTATAGACTTCAGCCTTCATGTGCCCCTGGACCATTCCAAACCTATTTTCTACAGCTAACCTATGCCATTTCTTCCTTCTCCTCCTGATTGTTGTCACTGTCTTCCCTCCTATGCCTATAGTCTATGGGGAAATTTTGGGGTAATGTACACTGCCTTACTGACCCACTTAGGACTTCCCTCAGCAAACCTCTCCCTTGAGGGCAACTCTTCACATTAGTGCTACAAGGTAAGAATCTGCACACATGTATAATATAATCACAGAATAAAGAAAACCACTTAAACATAAGAAGTTTTACGTGGTCATTCTAAAATATTTAACAGCTTTATTGTAGTATAAATGACATAAGGTAAGCTTTACATATTTAAAATATAATTTGCTTAATTTTCACTTAACTATATACTTATGAACCCATCAACATAATTCAGATACTGAACATATCTTTCATTCCCTAAACTGATCTCATCACCATTTACAATTCTTATTTTCCACCTTTCCCCACACTCCTCTCACATTCTCCCCAAACCCCACAGTTCCATCTACTTGTTAAATACTATAGATTTTATTACATTTTCTAGAATTGTATATCATTTGAATAGTTTAATATTCATGGCTTCTTAATAATTGAATATCTAGCCTCTTTTACTCAACATAATTATTTTGAGAGTTATCCATTTCGTTGCATGTATTAGTAAATACTAAAGAGTTTGTTGTTGAGTAGTATTCTGTTGTATGGAATTATCAAAATTTGTCTGTTCTTCTGTTGATGGACATTTGGGTTATTTCCAGTTTTTGGCTATTACAAGTTAAGGTTCTATGAACATTCCTGTTCAAGTATTTGTGCAGATATATGCTTTTGTTTCTTTTGGATAAATACTAAGGGTGGTATGGCTGGAATACCTGGTAAATTTTTTTTTTTTTTTTTTTTTTTTTTTTTTTTTTTTTTTTTTTTTTTTTTTTTTCTTTTTTTTTTTTTTTTTTTAGTACCAAACTATTTTCCCAAGCAGTTGTACTATTTTGCCAGCAGCAGTGTATGTGAGTTCCAGGTCCTCCACATGCCGCTAACAGTTTAGTCAGTCATTTTACTACAGCCATTCTAAAAGATGTGTAGTGGTACCTCACTATGTGCTTATTATTTAGAATGCACACACAAAATTAAAACTTCAGTAGTAAAAAGACAAGTGACTCAATAAAAATGAGAAAATGTTTAAATGGACACTTCATCAAACAATGTATACTAATGGAAAATATGCATATAAAATGATGCTCACCATCATTAGTCATTAGGAAAGTGCAAATTGTTGTAGATATTTTGATTTATAAAATAATCAATGAATATGAACTGCCGAGCTGTACATAGTTCATATCATTATATGTAACTTAAGTGTGCTTTTTTATTCTAATGTAGCATGAAACAATTTAATGCATAAATATTTATGTTTTAGATTATGTCCCTGTTACGACAGATGACCAAGAATAAAATATGTATATTAATACATATTTTCAAATTGCTTGCCATAAACAATTTCTATCAATGCATGAGATTTACTCATTTCACAAACATGTAAAAGTATTAGCTTCTAAAAATTTTTCTAAATCTGTTTATTGAAAATTTGATTTAATTTTAATTAAAATATATTTTATTACTCTGGATAATCAGCTTTTTAATGTATTTATTATATAAAATTCCTTTTTTATGAATTGTCTCTCATATTCTTTACTCATTTACCTATTGTAGCAGTTTTTTTCCTTCAGTGATCATGTGAACTCTACGCATTAGTCATTACATCTTTTTCCATTGTTAACACTTCTCCAGCTTATCTTTTAATAATGTTTGTGATACTTTTGATATTCAGCTTTAACTTTTTATGTTCCCAGCATATAAACTGTATCCTTTATGATTTATCACAATTACTTTAAACTTAAGAAATTTTTATTATCGTTGTTAGTTTTTATGGCTTTATCCTTTATATTTAAAAACTTAATTAATCTATAATGACTCTGGCATATGGCATAAAGGATCTTAATTCATGTTATTCTATTACTGACCATTTGTTCAAGAACATTGGTTGATTAACTTCTTATTCCTTCATTTTTTCTCCATATTTTTTATTACATATTTCTTTTTATGAACTAGTTTCTATTTGGGGGCTATTCATTCTATCTATTCAATTTATCTATTTTATGGAAATTCCACACTGAATTATAATACCTTTTAGAAATATTTTAATCTCTTAAACATATCTTCTGTTATTACTCTAAAATTACTAAAAATTGTTTTATCTCTGGTTGTCTGTTCACAAACTTTATAATTATTTTTGTTCAAATTAAGATACGATCTCTTTAAAGTTTTAATTAAAATTGTATTACAAACTCAAAGTAGTTTGAAAAGAATTTTGCATCATATATTGTATTCTTACACAAAAATATTACATGCCTTTTAATTTATTTAAATATTTCTTCATTGCTTTCAGGAAATATGAGCTAATTTTATTTATATCCCATATATTTCTTATTCATTTTCTTACTAGTGCCTCATCTTTGAATATTAGTATATATTTGTGTGTGTATATAGTATGTGCATGTAGGTATGTGTGAGCATGGTGTTATATTTCAGTAGGCATTATAAGTAATCTAGAGATAATTTAAAGTATACAGGATAAGGTGTGTAGGTAATGTACAGATAGTATACCATTTTATATGAAGAAGTTAACCATCCATGGATTTCAAGATCTGAAGATTCTGGAACCAATCCCCCATGGCTACCGAGGAACCACTATACTTCCAATTATTTAAGAATGATATTCTGAGAAGCTATAACATTTTGTATATTTATTTTGTTTTCAGCCACCTTATTGAATTTTCTTATTAATTTTAGCAGTGTTTCTATCGATTACTTTGAATTTCCTAGCTGTACAAATATATTATTCAGAAAAATAATTTTTGTTTACATTGCCATAATTAAACTTTTACTTCATAAATCCTGTTTTTGATTAATTGTATTGATTAAAACTTAAAAAGGCATTTCAAATTATAACAGTTTTATCAGAAATTCTTGTGTTTTTTCCTAATTTTATTAGTTTCAAATTTAGTATGAAGTTAGTCAAATTTTAGATCTCCTTTTTAAATTTTTTATGAATATTAATATTTTAAAGATAGTTTTGAGTTTACTCCAAATAACCTAAAATATCAAAATTCTTCCTCACTTGATCAGAAAGTGATTCTCTAAACATAATGTGAAGGTAACAAAAAGAATTATAGTATTATAAAATGTCACTTATGGCCCAGGCATGGTGGCTCATGCCTGTAATTCCATCACTTTGGGAGGCTGAGGTGGGCAGATCATGAGGTCGAGAGATCTAGACCATCCTGGCCAACATGGCGAAACCCTGTCTCTACTAAAAGTACAAAAATTAGCTGGGCCTGGTGGTGTGCACCTGTAGTCCAAGCTACTGGGGGAGGCAGGAGAATCGTTTTGACGTGGGAGGTGGAGGTTGCAGTCAGCCGAGATTGTACCACTGCACTCCAGCTTGGGGACAGAGTGACACTCTGTCTAAAAAAAAAGTCAATTATGTTTCCTCAAATTACTGTTACTTTCACAAATTAATTATTTTAAATCACAACTATAATATGGTCAGATAAATAATTAATGGATACATTAAAGTAACAAAATTGTTATTTTCTCTTTGTATGCAGAGTTATGAGCATCTACTGCCCTACAATTCTTACAACAGATGCTTGGAAATGAAAAGAATTGTGGTCTTTACCTTTTAGAATGTCACTTTGGTAAGTCAATTCACCTCTCTGTGTAACTAGGTCATTGAATCCTATATACGTTTTTAATTAAAGTGTGAGGGATGCTTAGTTGGCAGTCAATATATTTGCAAATTTGAGCAAGTTACTTCATTTCCTAGTGTTCTTCCTTCATTTATTTATAAGGGAGTCAAGATCGCTTATTTCTATGTATTAGTTCGGTCTCAGACTGCTAACAAAGACCTGCCCAAGACTGGGTAATTTAGAAAAGAAAGTTGTTTAATGGACTAGCAGTTCCACATAGCTGGGGAGGCCTCACAATCATGGTCAAGGTAAAGGAGAAGCAAAGGCACAGCACATCTTATGTGGTGGCAGGCAAGAGAGCATGTACAGGGGAACTCCCCTTTATAAAACCATCAGATCTTGTAAAATTTATTCAGTATCATGAAAATGGCATGGGAAAGACCAGCCCCCAAGATCCAGTTACCTCCCACCAGGTTCCTTCCAGAACACATGGGAATTATGGGAGCTACGATTCAAGATGAGATTTGGTTGGAGACACAGTCAAACCATATCACTCTACAATCTTTTTCACTCAAATATCTGTAATTTTATAAAAATCTTTGTAAAAATAAGGCATATATATCAGTAAACATATCAGTGGTTTTGGCTCAGACTACATCAAAATTCTGGGCATTACCTCTTACTATATGTATGACAGTATATTAATTGTTTAAACTCTGTAAGTCTGAGCTTTATTAATATAAAACAGGAAATATTAGTTCATAACTGTTATGGATTTGATGAGGACTAGGTAACAAAAAGTATTGTACTCTGTGGGTATCCTGTGGGGCTGTATCTGTTAAAATCCCAACAGGAAACAGATGGCACTTGAAACAGGTTAATTCTAGGATGATTTATTTACAGAGGTACTAATTATCAAGGTGTAGGTGTCTAGTGACCACAAAGGATATTTCAATAATCTAGGCCTTTGCAGCAGCCAAATTATTATCACACCTAGGCCTAGGGCAATAGGGAAGGAAGCAGTTTGGGAGCTTGGAGGGATGCAGTCATATATAATCCTGGCCTTGAGGGATGAGATGATCATTAGTGAAGGGACATAAGCAGCCTAGAACAAACAGAAATAAATCTTATTCAGAATGCTATAAGGTGGGTTAACTAACTAATTTATCAAATTGGGTTTCAGAATTTTTACTCTAATAGGATCTGTGTTGTCTAGGTATCTTTATAAAAACATATCCAGAGAAGGTTCATTACAATATAATTTAATGAATATAGCAGAAGATAGTAGATTTATGTGTTTAGAGTAATTGAGACCATAAATTAAAGAAAGATTATATATAATTTACAGTATAGTCAAATAATTATAATGTTGGTTCCGATATCCCTTTCCAAAGTCTCCTCACAGACTTGTGATACTCATTTAGCAATGTGACATGGTCCAATTTGGATTCTGATCTTTCTATTTCAAGTTTGTCTTTCCCAAATCTGCTTGAGCAAGCTTTACGCCTTGTAACACGAGGCTCTCAGTCTTTTCCTGTGTGTGTGTATTTTTTTTCTTTTCCTTCAATGTGTAATCTTTAAGTACTGAATCTTTATCAATTGATGTCTATAGAAAGCTGTGCTTCACTTCAATATGTTGTGGAAACTGCTGTCTGGGAGTGGATTCCAGCTGCTCTTTGCCCTTCTATTCTGAGAGTTCTGTGTCTACTGGCAGCTGCTTTCTCTTCGTAGAATTAGCATTCTCTTTTTCACTTTGATGATGCCTGAGGAGTTTTCAGCCCCTTGTGTTTAAAAGAGTCACTTCCTTCTTGGAATCAGAACCGGATCTGCTGTTGCAGGGAATCATGGATGCCATGATGCTTCTGTGGCAGCCGTAGCTCAAGGCACTGTTCCTTAATGATTCCTGTGCTACCTGTCAAGAAATTAACAGAGGTGGATGATACAATGAAAAGAATGCTGGGATAAAAATTTAAACACTGGGCTATAGTAGGTTTGTTCATTATCTAGCTCTGCAATTTGGAAAAATTATACTATGTAACTTTTTGATCCCCAGCTTTATTTTTTTCACGTTTGAAGGAATGAAAGAGTACACTGCTCTGCTTAACTCGTATGATTGTGATGTGGTACAAATGAGGTAATATATGTGATGTGATTTTCATACTATAAAGTGGAAGGGATTATTACTATGTGGAAAAATGCATATTCTTGAGCCTTTGGAAACAGCACAGTATATTATGTAAATTAGTATTGACTTTGTGTTCATATTTTCCCACCTGACTAGCCAAATGAAAAAGACATTTATTTCTCATGGAAATCACAAGGGATATTAAACAACTTTGCTTTAGCATATTTAATATTTCTTAGAATTAATAAGCAATATTTAGAGCAATCACAGATACAAGACTGCACAAATCAAATTATAATCATGTTCATTTTACACTGATACAATTTCTAAGAGTAGAGTGTAACTTTGCTATTTATAACTTACTTGAACAGTTTTTAAGCCTCTCTCTAATTTTTCTTGAGCTGCAAAACTTCAAAAATTTTTATATTGACTTGAAGGGAATTGTGTAACCTTCATGAAAGACAAAGATTATTATTAATATATTAATTCTGGGATTAGTCTTTACTGTTCAAATTAATCAGCCAACTGCATGTTTGTTTTGATCTTTAAAAGTTTATGGGAGTTAAAATTTTATTAAGGAGTATTATATTGCTTATATTTCTTATTTCATATACCAAATAATAGTTACATTATTATTGCTTAATGTCATATGTTTGTTATTAGCAGTTAGATTCTGTGGTATGTCTCAATGTGTAACAAAAAAAGATTTTAAAAAGAAAAATAAGAATACTAAATCAATTTGTAAAACACTGATTTCTTCAACAGTTTCAGAATTTTAAAATAATAGTCTTACTCTTTTCTCTATTTCAATTAGAATAGTTAAATATATTTATTAACATTGGAACATTTTCCCTTATTATTCACATTTTTTAAATTTTTGTCATCTTCTATTTTAAAGTCTTTAATGGTATTAATTGAGGGCTTACTATGTGTCCAGCTAAGAGAAGTAAATAAAAATAATTTATTTCATGGGTATTACTTTAGAATAGAAAGAGCAGATATAAACCCATACCCAAATAAATAAATAAAATACTTTCGTATGGTAATAAGTTCTGAATAATAGCACTAGCATATAGACTCATAAGTGGCTGGAGTAGAAAGGAGGAGAGACCTGCCATAAGTGAGATGGCCAATCAAGGTGTCTTTCAGAAGGTGACATGTGAGCTGAGGCCTTAATTATTACAAAGGGTCAGGCTTTTGAATAACTAAGGCAAGGAATATGTAGAATTTAAGAAAAATATGAAAATTTCTATCTGAGAAAATGAACTTGGCAAAGAAAGTCTGTTTAGTTGAAGTGTAGTGAATGGTTAAGTAGGCAGAGACTAAATCAAACAGTAGATTGTAGGCTTAGACAACGAGGTTAGATTTTTGTTGTTGTTATCTGCTACTTTGAAGTACTTAATGGTATTTCTTGAGTGCTTTTCAATAGTTTCTGCAATGAGAAGCAATTGGAAAGATTTAATCCAAGAAGTGACATGGCTTGATTTACATTTTTGAAAGTTTACCCTGACCAGCATGTGGAAATTGAGTCATGTGAAATCCGATGATGGAAACTGGGCAACTGGTTAGGCGGCTATATTGTAGTATCTCAGGTGAGAGAAGATGATAGTGATCAAGATGGTCTGTGTTTATGGAAATGGTGTGATTTGAGAAGTATGTGAAAAGTATAACCCCTAGATTATTCAGGTTGATTTGACGTGGGATATTATTAAAGAGATTAATTAATTTTGGCTTTTATATTTTGGGGTGACCATCAAGGTACTATCAAGTGTGAGTGAGGACATCTAAAAGCAGAAGCTGTTTTAGAGTGGGGTAGATCTGGGGTTGATGGTGAGTCAAGATTTCTGTTTTGAACTTGTTAATTTTGAGATGCCTATTGGGAACCCAAATACAGGTGCTAAGAGTTTGGTTATATTTTTCTAGAACATGGATTATTCATCCTAGGGGATAGACTATTAAATTGGGCCAGTTAACCATTAGAAAGATAATTAACATCTTAAACAATTATCAAATATCTACTAAAATACTTAGGTATAATAATTTCAAAACTGCTTAAAAAAACTGTGAAGAGCTCATTATTTCTCAAAATTTTAAAGTGAGAGAAGACTATCTCTTATATTATTACATGGAAGACAAAATCAGCATTTGAAATACCTCCCAAATGACTTGAAGTACATAAATAAATTGATTCTTCTTTTTATTTTCTAGTGATGTATCTTAATTTCAATTTTTTTTTACTAAACAAAATTACTTTTGTGTTTTGCCTGCTGCTGCACAGGAGAAGCCTTTAAAGTCTAACTACTTTATTTATTCCCATGTTTTAAAGAAGGATTCATTCAAAAAAGGAGAGGACATATAAGTTTAAATCAATTTTTCTGCACTAAACCATGAACAGATTAAAACCTGCTCAGTCTGTTTTTTTAAAAAAATATGTTTTATATTGGCAGCATATAAACTTAATATTAAACTTGCTAAAATTTAAAAAGTTGAGAAAATATGATATCCATTTCTTTCTTGTTAGTTTTATGTAATGGACTTGTAAGTTTATTTCTCATTGTGGAAATACAACATATTACAGGTAAATCATACTCTAAATGATTTACATGCACATTAACACATAGTTAGTATGATATATTTCACTTTCATCCTACATTACTTTCTTTATGGTTGTGAGAAAAAAAACCCAGAAGTTTGTTTGGCATTGAAGAGCAAAATGGCTAATTGGCATGCACAATGAAAGTTTTCATAGCTTTTCCCCTTAGTGTTTTTTTTTTTTTTCTTTTGAGTCTTTCTTTGTTGATAAAATGCCATTAATCTTTTGTTTAGGATCTCTTACCTTAAAACAGGCTTAAAGAAAACCCTTTTCATTCCTATATATATTTAT